TTTTTTTTTACTAGGTTTTAAGGTTTAATAAACTGCTAGTATTATTAAAAAATTATTAAATTATTATTTAATTATTACTAATTACCTATAGCTTTAAAAAGGGGTACAAGATTTTTTATTTTATAAGGTTTTAAAATTATACCCAAGGCTATAAGTAAAGTAATTATCTTTTTTATTTTTTTATAAGATTTTAAGGTTTAATAAACTATAGCTAGAACACCGCCGGCTTGGTATTAAAACTTATTTTAAATTATAATTTAAAATAAAAAACTATATTTATATTAAAGTTAAAGTATTAAAAAAAAAAAATCTCTTATTTTTTTAAAAAAAAAAACAACTAATTACGCGGCAAAGGCTATAATAAAAAACTATTATTTAGTATTAAAAGTAGGAGCAGGGGCCTTTTTAGGTATTCTTTTTTTATACCTAATATTTTTTTAAAAAAAAAGGCGTGATAGGCTTGTTTTTTAATAAAAAAATATTTATAAACTAGTAATTATCCTAGCTATTATTAAAATAGGCTAGGGGCTGTTTAATAATAAGCTAAAAAAATTAAATAAGCTTTTAAATAATTAAAGCTAAAACCTTTATTACACGGACCTTAGGGCTTATTTTTTTTATAAGCCTTTATTACTAGTTTAATCTAGTAAGTAAACATGTTTTAATAATAAAGGTATTTATTATAGTTACTAGGATTTATTTATTATAAAAAGGTAATATTTTTTTTTATATAAAATAGTAGGGGGAGGCAAGTACCCTTATTATAAATATAATAAAAGTAATTACGCCCGGGGGCTAAATAAATATAGTTATTAAAATTATTAATTAACTTATTATTTTTATATATTTAAATATACTTTATATACTATAAGTAAACCTATTTTTTATTAGTTAATATTTATATTAAAGCTGTTTTACTAGTAAACTAGTTTAAAATAGGGTATATTTATAAAAAAAAAGGCCGGAGGCTGGAGGAGAAAAAGCCTAAAAGGGTGGTAATATAAAACCTATAATAAGGGTATTAATAAAAGTAAAGGCTAGCACAGCGCTAGGTAAAATAAAAAAAAATAAGTTAAAAGGCACGGGGGCTATAATTAAATAATAAGGTAGTTATTATAAAATTAAAAGTTAGTATATTTAATAAAGTGCTGGTAAAGTGCCACTAGTTAGTAGCTATTAAAATAAAAAAAACTTATTAAATTATTACCCACGACCTTACTATATATTTTAAAGGTATTTATTAAATATAAGTTATACTAGTTATTACTATTATTACCGCCCAAAAACTAATTAAAATTAAAGTTTTTAAAATTAAAGGGGGACTAGCATAAAAAAAAAATTAAAAATACCAAGGGCTTTTAAAGTTAGCAAAAATACTATATTAAAGGGGTTTTATAATTATATTATAATAAGAATATAAGGGGCAAAGGTAAAAATATTTTAAATTACTATAGTTATAACTAGGCGCTTTTTTTTTACTTGCTAAAAAACTAGGGTAGCACCTAAAAAGGCTTTTTTTTTAGTTATAATAAAAAAAGGGCAACTTTTTATTTAGTAAAAAGTTTAATAAGTTTAAAAATTTATAAAACTATAAATTATACTATAATTTATATTTTTATACTAGGCATTATTAAAGCACCGCCTTTTTTTTTTAGTTATAAATAAATATTATATTTTATTTAAAGTGCTATAAATAATAAGTATAAAATACTAAATTTAATATATTAAATAATACTTTAATAAAGTTAAAAATAATAATAATAAAGCTATGTTTAATATTAATATTAATAATAATAATAGTATTTTATTATTATTTTTTTTTAATTTAGCAGCGGGTCACGGACAACCCTTTAATTAAAAAAAAAAAAATTATTAAGGCTAATATTTTTTTATTTAATATTACTAAAGCTAATTTACTATTAATCTAAAGTTAGTATCTTAAGTAACTTAAGCTTTAATTTTAGGCTATTAAAACTTAGCATACCTTACTATTATATTAGGCTATATAACTTAACTAGGTTATTAGTATTTAAGGTTTTAGCTACTAGTTAGGTAAGGCTAGGGTAGGCCCTAAGTATAAACTAAAGTAAAAACTTATATATAAAGTATTTAAACCTATATTTATTTTTTAATTAAAAATAGCTTAAGCGTAGCTTAAAAGTTTATAAAAATAGCCTTAAGGCCAGCCTTTTTTAAAATTTTTAAGTAACTTTTTTAGTGTTATCCAGCGGGGTTTAGAATACTTTATTTTTATTAGTTAAATTTCTTTGTTAATATCTTTATTATTAGTAAAGATCTTCGAGACTTGTCGGTCTTACATTAGGGCTATACCAGCACTATACTAAAAACACCCCCTCCGCCGGCATGGGAGTGATGTGGGCTGCGGGTCCACGGGTCCATCATCCTTCCAGGGTTCACCGTTGTCCGGATCCTGCAATCAAGCCTTGGGAGTTCTTGCCTTATTTCTGAATACCATCGGCTAAGGCAAACTGGCTTCGAGCATCTTTTCACTGCAAAGTGCCCCCTCTACTGGTTTGAGGTATACCTCGGAGAACAAAAATTCAGGAGCGGTGCTCCTGCTATTTCGGATGCCCATGTATCTACTATAGCAATGACAGCGAAGCCACCTGGGCAAGAGAAACCTTCCAAACCTTCTAGCAGGAAACGGACCTCTTGTCCAATTCCCACACCGTGGCCAAGTCAAGCAAGCCCTACACAGTCCATGTGCTCATGGGGATCATTATAGCAAGAGTAGAAAGCAAGCAAATGAACCCTATAAGCAATCTTATCTAAATTTCTGGCTAGAGCAATATATCAACCTGTCTATCCATAGCTTCCTCATCCGCAATTCGCTGCACTCTAATTCTCCCCCTCGCGATGCCTCACCGGCCCAGGCTGCGGCGGCGCATCAATCAGCGCCGAAGCCTGCGTAAGCCACACATCCGCCGCCGTATTGCGGCCCGTAAACTCCCTAAAGATGAAGTTCATCGGGAACCCAACGTCGAACTCGGTCGCGCCATCAATTTCATCCATGTCCTTGTCATCGAGCACGATGCCCAGCGCCTCAATGTTCGCCTTCAGGTGCTCGACCTTGCGCTGCCCGATGATCGGGAACACATTGGGCGTCTTGTGCATCACGTACGCAAGGGCCTGCGCAGCAAGAACGACCAGAAGTCAGCAGCAGACACGGGGGCGGTTACCGTAGGGTATGGTAGTGGAGGGGGGACGTACGATAGCATGCAGATTCGACCCCTTCCGCTCCGCAACCTTCTCCAGCGCCTCCGAGATCCGCACATCGCTCTGGCTCATCTCCGCGCCGCGCCCGCTCGCACCAGCCTCCTTGCTCTTCGCCTCGCGGGCCTCGCGGCCCTTGAACTTGCCGCCGCCCAGCGGCGCCCACGGCGCAATGCCCATCCCCTGATCGCGACACATGGGGACGATTTCCCGTTCCATGTCGCGGTACGCCGCGTTCCACTTCCCCTGGTACACGGAGAAGGGCTTGAGGCCGTGCGCGCGCGCGTAGTCGTTTGCTTTTACTACCACCCACGCGGGGGTATCGGAGACCCCTAGGTAGAGGACTTTTCCGGAGGTCACGAGGCTGTTGAGCCCGTGCATTACTTCTTCAACGGAGGTGGTGAAGTCCCACCAGTGTAGGTAGAGGACGTCGATGTAGTCTGTTTGGAGTTTGCGTAGGGAGTTGTTGACGGAGATGGTCATGGATTTGAAGCTGTTGCCGACGAAGTTGGATTGGAGGGGTTCGGTGGCGCGGTGGGAGGTGCGGTAGCCGGTTGTGTATTTTGTTGCGATACTGGAAGGAAAGAGGATTAGCCTGAGATTCTCTGAAGGTGGAGGGTAAGGGAGGTTGTAGGTGCGTACACCATCTGGTCGCGGTTCCCGCGCTTCTGCATCCACTCGCCGATCCATTTCTCGCTTTCTTCCTGCTGGTAGTTGTTTGCACTAGATGAGTATTAGCTTGCACAGGCAAGGGAGGAACGGAGAAGCAAACGTACGTGTCGATGAAGTTACCTCCGGCCTCGTAGAAGGCGTCAAGGAGGGCAAAGCTCTGCTCCTTGTTGCATTCGCCCATGAACTCCTTCCTTTAATTTGGGATTCATTAGCTTTGCCTTCAGGGAATACAGCAGGTGAGTGAAATTGACATACCAGGCATCGCCAAAGTTCATAGCTCCAAGGCATAGCGGGGACACCTTGACACCGGCCGAGGGAGAGAGGACGCGGTGGTAGCCCAGGAGGGTCGGCGGCTTCGGGGCAGGGGCAAAGATGGACATTTTGGACTTGATTGTGTAGTGAGTTATGGATTTGGGCAAGATTATGATTCTGGGTAGCTCCCAGGTCCTTGGGGCATTACCTTCTTATAAGACAGCAAATGATATCAGGACGTGGGACGATGTCTCCCGAGGTACACACTACGATGACGACGAGGACCCAGGGTCCTGCAGGTAGCTGACTGCTGCATAATCAGCAAAGGCTTATCCCCACGAGGGAGACAAGAAGGGAATTGTCAGTGGCAGGCCATGTGGATTAGGTTGGGGACATGTGGATAGCTTGCAGTGCATTGTATCCCCATTGGCCAATTGCAGTAAGCTGCTTACTGTGGGGACGGAGTTTATACTGCGGATATAAGGAGAAGTCATCAATGCAGCACAAGTCATCATGATGTAAGTGTACCACCATATTGTCCACAATTTATGCTCTGAGTCCAGTGGAATATGACCGCCATCTTCCCTGTAACCTGGACCTTCCATAGTTTCTCTCAGGTAACCTCTCAACTGGATAACCCTCGCAAATCCGCTTCAGAAGCCCGCCTCTTGCCAACCTCCAGCTTGGAAGTCGAGCGCTGCAGCAACATCCCCGGCCCTCCGGCTTCCCACCAGCCTGCCTTTCATTGTAATATTCTTGAAATTCATATCTCCCAGATCTGCACCGACAACGACACTGTTCTTCGACGCAAGTCCAACGCACATGATGATAGCCCAAGTCCTCTTCCCGATAAACGAGAGCGCCGGCGCGGAAACAAAACCCCATGCCCAGCAACCCGATCAGCAATCTTAATAACAGCTCCCACTGTAGGTATCAGGCGCTTTCTTAGAATCCACAAACGCCTCGGCGCCCATCTCAAGTGACAACGCGCGCTTCCCGTGTCAACAACAACGCCTTGCATCCATCGCCTTTGCAATCTACAGCCCTGGGTCCCAAGGCCCCCGCTCCCAATAGGAAAGACATCCCGGTTACCTGGCTTGAGCCTTAATTCTGCCAGAGGGCAGTACATCGTCGCGGCGCTGCACGTAATCGGGGCCGCGACCTCATCCGACACACCGCCAGGAACAGGCGAGGCATCCCGCGCAGGCGAGGTGATGTATTGCTGATATGTACTAGTCCTCATAAGCCCCGTATGCACGCCCTGCACAATGCATCTACCTAGGTAATGCATCTCCCTATGGTCCCAGCAGAGCTCACAGTTCCCAATTCTTGACGTTACCCCCGGCCTTCACGACTACGTTGCATATGATAGAGGAACTTTGACGAGGAAGCCCCGAGAGTTGGATATGCGCCTGGAAACTGGTCAGATCTGCGAATTCGCTTCCCCTTATCCAGTGCCGTGATCTGGGTGTTGTTTTGTTCATGGATATCCTGTTTCTCCCACAGACATGCATGATTGTGGTGACGCGTAAAAAGGGAGACAGGCTTCAATGAGTTGGGAAGATAGGTTATGGTATTATTTCGACAGTTGGAAGGCTTTCGTGCGATTATGAGCAGGAGGAGTTTTCTGTAGATGATCGTAGCACCCAGGTAAGATATTGGTCGGGTATGGACTCGACAAAGCCCTAGGTAAGAATATGGTAATGCCCTCTTAGCGATAGGTATTACTGTCACAATGCCATCAACATCAAGCCATCTTATAGGCAGAAATGAACATTGGCTATCCTTGTATGACCTACCCAGTATGAGTGGCTTTACGACGTATGCATTGTTCCTGAATCTCTACATCCATGTACAGGACAACAACACGCTCATCCGTGAATCTATACTCAGGTTGGATTTCAGAGTTAGGGCACAACTGATTAAATTGAGATCAGTTGGATCCGAAGAGCCAGACATTTGCTCTTGCAAGTATTGAGATACAATGTTAAGTAGGGATAAGTATTTGTTGATTTTGAACAATTGAACTACCTAGGTGGAAAAGCTTAAAGGTTGCGCCTACAAGATGCTAATATCGTTCTGATCCTGATACTGTCCTGAGCAATACACCGATCTCGGTTTAAGGGCTGAACAAGGAAATGGATAAGAAGAAAGATTCAAACACGTCCAGGTAAGAGAAAGTTGAAAACGGAAATGAGACGCTTGAACATGAATACGTAACAGACCACCATGCAAACAGGCAATCCCAACCCCTCCCTAACGTGTCTATATCTCCCCCTCTCCCCTAGCAAGGTACGCATCAAGCACAAACCGGTAATAGCGGGAAGAAAGCGTCACAGACACCGGCGTCCCAAACCGCAGCCACGCACCCCACAAAACCAGCACAACGGCATGATGCCCATTGCGCGCCGCCCGCCCAAGCGCATTCTCATCCCCGTCCCAACACCACCCAGCACGCTCGGCCCCGCGCGCAAGCAGCAATCGCACCATGCGCTCCGAGCCAATTCTAGCGGCGGTGTAGAGCAGGGGGTCACGTTTGCCCGTGTCGCGGAATGCGGCGATGGCGGCGCGGACTGCCTTTCTTCTCTGCGCGGGGTCTGCGATGCGCGCCTTCTGCCGTTTGATGGACCGCTCGATTTGTCGGCCTTGCTGGGGGCTGGTGCAGGGCGTGTTGATGTCTGCGCCGGCGTCGAGGAATGCCGTCGCTGTTTGCGGGTTGTCGTTGCGGACGGCGTGGGTGAGGCCGCTGGCGTTGTGGAGTTTGATGTTCAGTTTGATCATGCGGGGGGCGAGGAGGGCGTGGGTTGACTTGGTTGTCATTGCTAGGGCGAGGATGTCGGCTGGGGAGGAGGCGTTTTCGGCGATTTGGAGGATGAGTTCGCGGGGGAGGGTGGGGAGGGACATTTTCGGCAGTGGTTTTTTGTATCGGTTGCGGATTGCGTTGGTTTCTGGCGTGGATGGATGAGGAGATGATGATGCGAGACGAATGATGTTTCTCCGATGAAGAAGGGTTGATGGATAGAATGGAGGAAGAGATGAGAGTTGTTTGGAGAAAGAAGATCGTTTGGCTGGGGGAATGAGGGCTTATATAGTCGGGCATGACTAGTTCTGCAATTGAGTATAGCTTCTGGCTCACTCCCTGGGCTGGTCTAGAGGTTGACGGTGACTGATAGAGTGAATTATAGAGTGAATGATGGATGCTGTCTCCCGAGGTCTATCTGACATCAACAAGGACACCCCGTTTAAGTCACGTTACCAGTCATGCCCTATTTCATGATATTGGAAGAAGCAGGGCCAACCAGCATAGAAAATGGGAAAGTCGTGAGACCGGGGATCTACTAAGTGGGAAACAAGTTTAGGTAAGGAACTGCTATAACGTCGAGTGTCAGTTGTATATCGATATATCTGCAGCTGCCTCAACGCTGCCATAGTACTCCCTGAGCATCCATGGATCGACACCCACTAACAACGTCCCGGGGCAATGATACAAGGCTTGCCTAGCCTTGGCCCTCGCTTGGCCTTCGAACGTAGATGGCGGGCTGGTTTCAAAGAGGAAAGGAGTGTCTAGCCACTCACTCTAGCATTATTAATTTGATCTAGATTATACCAGCAGTTTCAGACGCAGTGCGGTATACACGAGCCGGCATAGCAGACTTTCACTCAGCCTCCAACGCGTCTTTCCTGCAAGCCGTATCATATCGCTTCCCTGAGAGCCCTGCTTCCATGTGGCCGTCTTAGTAAGACTCCAAGTAGATTACTCTGTAAGTAAGTAGATTACTCTGTAAGTAAGCTCGGCCGCTATCTTTTACTCTAGGCCTGCAGAAATCTGTGGCTAAAAGCTACGGTTTGTAATGAAAGTTCACCAGAGGATGCCATGGTGGAGGCTCTTCTCTGCCACTCTACTTCTTTATCTCTTTTCTGAGAATACGTCTTATATGGTCGCACTCAAGGTTCTGTTGCTGGTCCTTATATCTGGCTGGTTTGATATCAAGGCCGTCACATTTCAGACAGTGAACGCTTTGAACCAATAACCGCATGATATAACTTCTAGCATATCAATCAGTCTTGTCTTAGGCGTCTGCATTCTCGCGCTTGGCTCGAGAGATGGACTTGGTTGACTTGGTGGAAGTTGTTTGCTTTCAGGGTACGTTCAATACCTACGGCTCCGTTTAGTATGCTTTAGGGGTCTCCCAGCGACTACAGAAGCGATCGTCTAACATGTCAATTTTTTCAGCAGCAAGATTTTAAGACCGGGGAAGAACAACCCTTAGTCCACCATATATACTGCCGCACTGCGCCTTGTCCCTGGCCAGACCCACTGCAGCCGCAGCTCAGCCACGATCCAGGGCCAGGAACAGTCGCCAAGCACCTGCGAAAGTCTTGTATGGTTCCATAAATGCTTGAAGCAGAAGCAATGCTGTTCAGTACAGGACGTCTGGTGACTCTGGTCCAAAGTCCCATACTGAGGTCGATTTCTACTCCATTGCAGAATTGCAGTGTCGACTCACTCTCGGCATCTCCGTTTCCTGGTGGATTTTATGCATTTTATGCATATCGGCGGCCCCTTGCTGTGGCCGAGCGGGACTCGGGAGACTTCCGGTTCCCCATCTCCGTCCTTAGGGGGTCTTGCTGTCTTACTCTTCAGCCCTGCAGCTACGCTGCCACGGAGAGACTTGAATTTTCTGTCCGAGCTTGATCCCTTGTACTGGTACACCGGGACATCGTAACCTCCGTCTTTGGGTCCAGAATACGGGAAACGAGGGATGCATTTGGCGGAAGAAAAGCATAAGACACGTGTCTTGTGCCTTGCTTACTAGGCGGCATACGGTACGGCCATAAATCAGTCCGTCTCCGAGTCCGAGTCCGGTTCTTTCAGCGATCTTGCTCCTTGCTCAGCTCCAGCTCCAAGGTCCGTCTTTAAGTGCAAATATCGGCCGTCGGAACCGGGTGAATCGGTCAATCCGTTAGGGATGTTATAATGTCGACATTTGGAAGGAAATATCAGTCTATCCAAAATATTAAGGTTTTAAATATCAGTCCGGTTAAACATACACGTGACTTATAATGGGTTCACTCTAGCTAATTAAAGATTATAAATTAGCACTAAGCTTAGTTTATAGCTAATAAAATTTAAAAAACCCTTGGCTATAAAAAATATAATAAGACTAGCTACTAGTACACCACCATAATAAATATATATATTATAAATAAATATTAATTTTTTTATTTTTTAAGCAAATAAAGCCACCATAACTTAAATTTAGAATAATATTTAGGTTAAAAACACTTATAAGTTATTTTATACTAAAAATAGCAAAGTATTATTTTAATTTTTATTTTTTTTAATTTTTTACTAATTTTTAAAAAAGGCGGGTTTAATATAGGCAGTGTGGTAAAAAATATAATTCTTAAATAACTTAGTAATATAAATACCTTTTTAATAAGTGTTTAAAGCGCCCTTAATATTTTTAAAGTAATTAGTTAACTTTTAATTAAAATAGTGCTATATAATAAAAAAATTAAAAACTTTTTTATATAGCTATTTATACCAGTGGCCTCCCCTTCTTCGTGTATAAAACTTTTAAACTTTAAAGTTTACTTAAAAGGTATAATATTACCCCTTTTACACGCCAGGCCTTATTAAACAAATTACTTAATAAGTACTATAATTAATATAAGGTAAATATAAATTAATAGCTAAAAAATACCAAGTTTCTTAATATTACTATTAATAAAATTATTAATTAGTTTTTAAAGCATGTTATAAGCTTGTTATTTAATACCCTAATATATAGCTTTTTTTATACCCTTAAAAAAATTATAGTTAGAGCCTTTAGTGTAAAAAAAACTACAAGATAAATTTATTAAACTTTTAAAAATTACCTTATAAATAAAAAGAAATATAATCCTAATATAAATATTAATTACTAGTGCTTTAACTTTATCTTTACTAATACCTATAATATTATAAAGGTAGTTTAAAATATACTACAGGCTAAGGCTAAGTACTTTTATATTTTTTTTATTAATTATAACTCCCATGGCCTTTAGCTACTTATAAAAAATTTTTTTTTTTTTAGTAAGATTAAAAAGGTTTTTAAAAACATTATATTAGTTATTTCTTACTTTAAAAACTTTTTAAAGTAATTAGCCTGGATTTATTATTACTAAAAAAAAAAAAAAAGGTAAGGTAAAAACTTTTATTACCTTAGTAATTACTTACTAGGGAACTTAGTTTAATACTTTAAAATTTATATAAAGATCTAGTGTTACTTTTTGCTAGTAAATTTTAACTTTTAAAGTTATAAAGGCTTTAAAATCTAATAATAAAAAAATAGCTATTATAAGCGGTGTTGCCATAATTATTAACTTTTTTAAGTTTTAAATAAATTTAAAGAATTTTTTTTGTTTTCTAGAGCCAATTTACTAAATATAAATTAAATTTAAGTATTAAAAGGCTAATATTATAACTATAAGTACTTTATTTTTTTAGTTATATAACTACTAACTTCCTAGGTTATAAAATATTAGCTATAAATCCGCTTAATCCTTTTTAAAAGTATTAAAAAAATATTATATAAAACTAATTTTTAGGAGTATCTTGCAAAGGCTTTATATGCTAATTTTAAAAAATACTTTAGCAAGCAGGTAACACCCCTTTACTAGGCCGCTTACTATCTTAACCCCCGTAATATTTCTACTTTATTAAATAAGCTAGTAGCTAATATAATTAAAAAGGTGTTTTTTATATTTACTATTAAAAAAGCTTATAATAAGTTTACTTTATATTAAGTAAAAAAGGCGTAATTTTTTTTTATAAATCTTTAAAAAACCAAGGACCCTTTAGTATTTTAAATGTAGTTTATAAGTTTTTTTAACTAAATACCTCTTAAAAAGCCTCTTAAATAGCTTTAAAACTAACTATTTTAAACTTTTAATATAATACTGTTTTGTTTCTCTCCTACCTTGCCATTTAACTTATTTATATAACTACTAACTTAGTTTTTACTAAGCAAGCCTTTTCTGCCATAAACAACACCAAGAATAAGTAAAAATTTTATTTCCAGGTTAAAAAAGTAAACAAGCTAGTATATTTTTATATAAATATAAAAGCTTTAAATTTTATACCTATACCTTTACTTATAAATAGCCGTACAAGCCGCGATATTAAGTATAAATTTACCTAACTAGTAAAAAAAAAGGATAAAATAGCTTATAACTAGCTATTTTATAAAAATCTTTAAATTAAAAGGCTGCTAAGTAATAAAAATATAATTATTTTTAAAAAAAAGGTCACTACTAAGCGTAAAAAAAAAATATTATTTATAGCGCCTTAAGTAGCTAAAAAACCCTGGCTTTTAGCTGCTAATACTATATATAAGGCTAATAACTTTAACTAATTACTAAAGCGCTTTAAAAGCACTGTAGTAATTACTTTAAAAGCGCTGCAGTAATTACTTTAAAAGCGCTATAAAAAGCGCTTTAAAAGCGTTATAAAAAGCGCTTTAAAAGCGCACCCAAAAGTTTTTAATTTTATATTAAATTTATATATAAACCAAAACTTTAAAAGGCGCTTTTAAAAGCGCTTTAAAAGCGCTTTAAAAAGCACTTTTAAAGCACTTTAATAGCGCACCTAAAAATTATTAATTTTATATATAAATTAAAAAGTTTTTATAATCTACATGTGCGCCTTTTAAATTAGGACTAGTTATTACGTGCAGCCCACCTGCTATACCCTATATAAAAGGTAAGCGCTAATTAGACATTCGCGACCTCGAAATGTCTGTCATGTCAACATTTAAGGCGGCGAATGTCGACATGACATTTGTCATCTTACATCCCTACAATCCGTGTATCCATTATTGATATTTTTGGACCTGCCATCCGTACCCACAGTTTCAGCCTCAGGATCGGTCGAATTCTGTCACGTCTCGAATAAACTCGTTCGTCGTACTCGTATCCGACCGATCCCCGTCCGCAGGCACCAGCTTTCTATCCATGGTACTCCGTCCAGTACTTCCCCAAACAGCAAGAAACTCGAACACGAGCACGAACTCGAATCCTTGGGACTTCAGGCAACACAATCAGGCAGGGGCAGGCTAAAAAAGCAACGAAAAGGAACAAGCTCATCTTACTGCGCACCCAATCACAGCAGCCATCCGCTGACACGAATACGAACGGGCCCATTCCAGCACCCTCTTGGCATCCTTAGCGGCAGGCTAGCCTACGAGGTGCTTACCGGCTTCGTTTGCGATGTTCGTCTGACATGCACTGTCTCCAGCGCAGGATGGGGATTCGGTCGGTCGGGGATTCGGCGATGAGACGGCGACGGGGTTTGAGCTGAGATCCGCCATGGAGTCTGGTTCTTTGTTAGGCTTCCGTATTCACGTTTATTGATGACGGATCTATAAGTACCGGACGGCCCCAAGACTCCGTAAGGCTGATTTAGTCCATCGTTAAGTCATTCGTTTGCCCCAGCTTGGCTGTGCTGCGCCCAGGCTGCTTTTGACGTCGACGGGGTTATATAGTCGCTTCCTCGTCTCTGCTTACGATTACCACTGGATTCTCTATTTCCATTTCACGAGCAAAACTTTTATCAAGATCGTCAACATGAGCAGATCGAAAGACTCTCCCGACTCAAGCTCGAGGTACCCCTCCCTTCCCCACACCATACACCCTCTCCCCTCTCTACAGTCTACAGTCTACAGTCTACACTGCTCTATTCCCCTTGCTCGAATCAATCCATGCATTCTAATCCTAATCCCAATTAATCGTCTAGCGCAATCTCCACCCCCCAACTCTTCGCCCTCGCCCACCCACCCCCGAAATCCTCCAAAGCGTCCAAATCCAAATCCCCCCGCCTGCGCCTCTCCTCCCGCCTCCTCCTGCAAATCCAGCAATCCTCGCCCGGACGATCGCGCGCAATCCCCATCCTCGAACTCTACCAACCATCCACATTCGGGAAGACCATCTCAACCCCGGGGGCCGAAAATGGGCACGGAAGCCACAAGGTGCACGGGCGCGATCTGTACCTTACCATGAGCGAGATGTACACGCATCTCAAGCGAGAACGAGACGGGCCGGTCAAGGTCACAAAGCCGCGCTCTGGATCCGGAGGGTCAACTTCAACGACCGGCGCAAGCAGTTTCCGCAAGTCGAAGTCGAGCGCGGGCGGCGACAGTTCGGCCGATGAGGGGACGGGCGAGTGCAAAGCGATCCGACCGCGGAGCTCACACAACAACGGAGAAAGAGAAAAAGAAAGCGAGCAGGACGACGTCGTCGCCGTAATCCACACCTCGCCATCGCCGCCACCCAAACCAGCGACAACCGCACCCGCACCCGCCGACGCAGCCCTCTTCTTCCCGCTCACAAACCAAACCTGGACCGCGACGGCGCACGGCTCAGGACACTACCGCTTCGTCTGCGAAACGAGCGCCATAATCTTCGAGTGGGAGAAGAGGCCGCCCTCGCGGTCGGGCTCGGCTGCCGCAGCGGCGGAGAAAGCGGCAGGTGATGAGGGCGACCGGTTTGCGCTGAGCGTCTCTGTCTCGGACGCGACGTCACCTGCCAAGAGGCCTTGGCTGGCGCAGTTGACGAAGCGGGGGATTCGTGTTGGGGGGTTGGAGGCGTGGCGGGATGAGCCGGGCGTTCGGGCGTTGATGGGTGGTGGCGACGGGGCTGGGCTGTATACGCTTATCTTGACGATGGGGGTGTGGGTTGCTAGGGGGGAGGGGTGGGTGAACTAAATGATTCCCAGAATCTCGGAAGATCTTGCTGTAGTTTGGCTTGTTTAGCGTATACCCATTTTCAATTCATCACTGTCGCCTCTCTATCAGACGTTTCTCTAAGATAGGTGATTCAACCCCTCTTCAACACCCACAATCTGCAGCGCCAGCAGCAACGAGTAATACCGACACAGCGCCAGATTCCCGCCCATGAACCAGAACCCGGGGTGTCCTGTCTTCTGCCAGATCGTGCGCATCTCGCCTTCAGCATTCAGACCCCAGACACTATCCACGCGGTCCGCGACCTCATCGCCAAAGATCCGCCTCGTCTGCGTATGCATGTTCTTGTACCCCGTTGCAAAGACCAGCTCGTCCGCCTCCAGCTCCGAGCCATCGCCGAACCTGATTCCAGATGCAAGGATCTCAGCGATCTCCTGTCCCTGCTTCACCTTGATCTTCCCGTCCGCGATCAGCCGTCCAGCGCCGACTTCGATCGTGTATCCCCCGCCGCGCTGCCAGTATTTCATCAGCAACCCTGCATTGTCAGGCCCCATGTCGACTTTGAAGCCGGCGTTCGCAAGACCGGCCAGGAACTCCTTGTCGTGCTGGTTCTGAAGCCCCGTGATCTTGACCTGCTGCGCCTTGAATTGTTCCGCGGGGATACTGTAGAGGAAGAGGTCGGCGTCGTGGACCGGAGGCCCGTTCTCTTCGTAGAGCCCCTTGAGTCCGATATCCACGATTGCCGACGAGGAGATGACGCAGGTCGAAGAGCGCTGGACCATGGTGACATCGTATCCCTTTTCATAGTAGTCCTGCGCGATATCGTGCGCTGAATTGCATGATCCGACGACGACGGCTTTCTTCTTCGCCCCTTTACCTTGCCCAACTTCGGTAGCCCCGTCGAACTCCGAACTATGACAGATCCGACCCTTGAACCCCTCAAGCCCCTCGAAATTCGGCAGATTCTTCTCCCCCGAGTGCCCCGTCGCCTGAATAACATGTCTAGGCCGAAGAACCCTCTTCTCACCTCTCCCATCAACATCCCTAACAACCTCAACCGTCCACTCTTTCTTCTCCTCACTCCACCTAACCCCTTCAATATTGGTCGAAGTCCAAACATCCAACTCCAAAAGCTTAACATACGCCTCAAAGAACTCGGCAAGCTTATCCTTCGGCGTGAAAACCGGCCACGTCTCCGGGAACGACACATACGGCATATGGTCGAACCAGACGGGGTCGTGCAGGACGAGCTGGTGGTACCGTCTGCGCCAGTTATCGCCGACGCGGGTTTCCTTGTCAATAACCAGACAATCCACCCCGAGCATTCTAAGGCGCGCCGCGATCGTTAGGCCCGATTGCCCGGCGCCGACAATGAGGACAGTCGGTTGGCGGTCCCCGGCTAAATTCAGCGATTCATCGCGGCGGTCTTGCCAGTTTGAGCGTCCGGTGCGTGCGCCGTGGACCGCGCCGAATGGGCGGCGCGTATTGATGCGCTCTTCGTGGCCCGTGAGTTCTTGGAGGACGGTGTAGAGGGTGTAGATCGACCAGTTCCCCTCTGACTCTGCGAGACGGATAACGCCGCGACCGGACCCGATGGCTGTTGTCACGGTGATGAAGAATTGGATGCCCGTGACGTCGCCGAAGGCATCGATTGCGGTGACTTGGGGAGCGCGGAACGGGCTTGAGGCGTCGAGGGAGATCTTCACCTGCGCTAGCTTCTCGTTTGGGACTTCAGACAGAAGGGAAGAGATGGCGTCGCGCCCCTTTGCGGTGCGGAAGTCCCATGAGAGGCAGAGGTGGTCGCGCCAGAAACTGCCTTCTTCCAGGAAGAGGGATGATATGTCGCTGGTGTTGGAGGCGGATAGCGCATCGTTGAGTTTCGAGAGGGTGGCTTCGGCGATGGCGAGCGCGTTGATGGCTTCCTTTGGGGTGGTGCAGGATGCGGGGAATGTTCCGACGGGGGTGTTGAAGGAGCCGGGCTCGATTTTTGATGCGGACATCCTGCCTCTGTGCTTTTCGGTTGTCGCTCGTCAGTGGATATGATAGGGGAAGGAGGGGAGATGTGTTAGGTGGGAGTCTGGAGAGGTGAAGAGGGGATATTTATAGTTCATTACCCCGCTCCCCAGGCCCGGCCACCCCAGTTCCTTCCAGTTGGATTCCGCTCCGACGATCGTCTAATCTGGAATTCTGAATACTAATCAAGGCCGTCAGACACAGAGTTGGCTATACCGCATCTCACGCATCGAGCTAGCGGCCTCCGTCCGATGAGATTGTCAGATTGTGGCTAGACCCTTAGGTATGCCCCGCCGTGCCTGAGCCACAAAATGCCTGAATGGGTTTGGCGGGGTGACTCGGTGCATGCCCTGCAGAACTATCTCACTTAGGGGATTCTATGTGCTTCGATGTTGTGTTCAATGAATCTCAGGATGGAAGGCAGATAGCTCTGGGTGACGGGTCTGTGGCAATGTCGGTATGCACATCGTAGACTAACAATAGTCACATCTTGAGCAAACTCAGCCCATATTTCTTATGGAGTAAATGGCAGTCTACTCCATAGTTCACCTTGCTCCTGCTGCTGCTAGCCTGCTGCTGCCGTAAAGCAACTTCGGCTCAACCTGCCTCTCCTGGCTTGGACGAGTCATCTGCATTTGCAAAATTCGGGGTGAAGAAGTGAAAATAAGCGTATCTAGTAAACCGGTACTTTATCCGCACCTGATCTTCCAGGAATCCGAATATTCTAACAATGCGCATCGTTGTTCTGCTAAGTCAGTCAAGCAGAAATATATTTTATGGCACAGCGACCCGCCCGTACCTGCGCCACTGAACCAGCCGCTTCGATCCAAACAACCGACCCAATCGCGCTTACGGATCTCCAGAGTGAAACTGAAACAAGCGTTCGATTCCATGGTTCCAGTGCGATTATCGAGATTTACTTTCTACTCTTGGTGTTTGGCATATTCATGCTAAATAAATGTTCTCTTACAACAAGAAGCATCATTGGTCTAGTGGTAGAATTCATCGTTGCCATCGATGAGGCCCGTGTTCGATTCACGGATGATGCATCCCATCTTCTTTTTGCTTTTGCTACTACCTATACAGCGTGGACCTCTATCCATATGGACACCCACAAGACCTACGCAGCTCTGGACTTTTTGCCCCCGGCACCACTATACCTACACCATCCACACCGTCACAGTTAACGCCAAAGCCAAGTGAACCAGTACAAGAACAGGGTATCATTCAACCAAAAGCAACATATATACAAAAACAACCCACAGGAAAAGCCATCACCTCCGCACCCCGGCAAACCGACTCTTCCACCCCCTCCTCCCAAACCCCAACGTCTCCAGCGTCTCGGCCCTCCCCCCCCAAAGCCTCCCCTCCCCATCCCGTCTCTGCGTCGGCGGAATCCAGAAATGCGTGACCCCCGCCCCAATAACCATACACGCACTGAACACAATAAGCATGTACCCATGCCGCACCGTCTGCTCCTCCCCAGGCCCCGAGCCAAACTTATAATACGCAGACAGCAGCTGCACAAGGATACTCCCTAACTTCCCCGCCCCCGCCGAAATCCCATGACACGTGGCGCGATACCGCGTCGGGAAAATCTCAGCGGGGATCATATACGTCGTTGTATTGGGGCCGAAATTAAACAGGATTTGCCCGAGCACGTACAGCGTCACGGCGACGGGGCCTTCCTTGTGCACGGTGATGAACATGGAGCCAAGGGCGATGAAGTGCGCGGCCAGCGCGAGGAAGCCGTACTTCTGCAGCGCGACGCGGTCGAGCTTGTGGATTGTCGCGAGCATGAGCACGCCGCCGACGAAGGAGCCGATGTTCAGGATGATCAGGCAGTGCGTGCTGGTGTCGCGGAACATGGTGTAGATGTCGGTTGCTCCGGTGTCGTCTGTCATCCAGGGCGGGGACGGGCCGGAGATATTCAGGCTGTCCCAGGTCTTCGCGAGGAATTGTGGAGAAGATAGCCCGATGCCGTAGAAGCCGAAATCGAGCAGGAGCCAGGAGAGCGATGTGGCTAGCAGCGTGCGCCAGTTGCCCTCGGCCCAGAAGTACTGCGTTATGTCGGCTTTTGTGAGGCGCCAGTGGCTGTTTAGGGTTGCGGGTTGGAGGAAGGAGGAGGCGTCGCCGGGGTATTGGGATGGGGTGCGCTCTGTGTAGGTGTAGGAGTGTGCGTAGTCGTCGACGGACATGGAGCGGATGGTGAGTGTGCCGCTTTCTGGTGCGGTTGTGCCTGGTCCTGCTGCTGCGGGGATAGCGGGCGCGGGGAGAACGATCTCGTTCCAGGGGGCAATGAGATTGATATCGTTGAACGGGTTGGTCATATTCGCGGTCGGGGAGGTCATATTGAATGCGGATGCGCCTGAGCCTGGCGTAGGATGGACATACCCCATCTCGACCTCCGGCGAGCCCATCGAACCAGGCGCAGGATCGCTGAACAGATTCGTCGCATCAAACTCGGCCTGCACGGGATCGTCTTCAATCTCCAGTAGAAACCGCGGACTCTCAGGAATCAAAAATCGAAAGAACGTCGCGATCACGCCGGGCACAACGCCTATCCCCACAACCCACCGCCACATTATATCGACGGTCCGCGTTGTATCCTCGAACCCCTGCCTCTTACTCACAACGACAACAATAAGACTAACCAGATTCCCGGCAATCTGACCAAGCGGCTGCATGAAGAAGACAGACGCGATCATGCGTGCGCGGTGGCGCGTTGGCGCGAACCTAGGTACACTCCATCAGCAACCGCAACACAAATCAGCATTTAAAAACCGGGACATACTCAGACGTAATCACCGCACTGAGCGGATAATCCGCGCCGACCCCAATGCCCACAATCACGCGCCACCAAACCAACCACGCAAAGACACTCATGCTGCCGTGCGCGCCGTCAGAGGACATCGCCACGCCCAGCGTCGACGCAATCAGCAGCGCCAGCTCAACGCCGTACATCTTCTTCCGCCCGTTGCGGTCGGCGAGGTACCCGAAGAGGACTTGGCCGAGGAGCGTGCCGGCCAGCGTGGCGATGTTGATGCAGGTTAGGCGGAAGGAGGACGTGTCGTCGTGCCAGTAGACGTAGGAGATCATGGGGAGGGCGATGTTGGAGGCGAAGAGCTGGATTAACACCTGTTAGGGCCGGAGGAATCTAGGGATATGGGAAAGGGAGGGCGAGCGTACGGTGTATCCGTCCAGGAAGAAGCCGACGCCGGCGACGAGCACAACGACCCATTGGAAGGACTGGCGGTCGATGGTCTCGTAGATTTGGCGGGTGCGGACGTGGCGGTCCTTCATGGAGTCATGATCAGTATTTCCATATAAACCATATAACTGTCGAGGGGGTGGACATGTACATACCTGCTCATGCTCGAAATCCCGAGCGCGGTCGGTCTTATACAGCCGCGAGCGGAATTTACCCATGTTGATGTACAAACCAAACCCGAGTTTGGTTCCAGTTGCAGTCGCAGTTCTAGGTACGGTTCAAATAGCAAAGTCTTGGGATCAAAACGAAGGAACGACAAGAAGGCTTGTCAGGTGAAGCACAACCATTGACGCATGCCACGGCGGGGTATAGCGGCCAAGGACGAGCGGGCGAGGGCGTAACAGGAGACAAAGAAAGACAAGACAAGACAAGGATAGAGACAAGAACAAAGATTCGAGAAGATCTGGAAGATGTCAGTCAAGTGGCCCTGGCACCGTCTGCTTTGCCCTGCCGAGACCGAGTCAAGTCAGCCCACTTACCTGAGCCAGCCCACGCTTGAGCCTGAGCCTTACGGAGCAAGCTCGAGCTGGAACCATGGTGCGCCGCACATATAGCTCTGCAGCCTGCTGATTTGCCGAGTCATAGTGCTCGTGCTCGTGCTCGTGCTCGTGCCCGTGCCCTGTGTGGGCCCTCATGTCCAGGAACTTGAAGCGATGCAGGTACGGAGGACTAAATTGACAAATGCGCAAAAACTCCACTTGTAGTATAATACTATATATTTACTTAGTATTTTATTAACAAAAAATTAAATATACCATAACTTACTTAGTTTTACTATATAATTACTTATTTTAAGTACTATAAAAAGGTGCAAGCTAATACTTAAATAAAATAAAAATACTTAAATACTTAAATACCTAAATGCCCGTAGTGTAGTATCCCTTAATTAATTATATAAAAATAAAAAAAATTCTTAATTTAAGTTAATTAAATTTTTTGCCTTTTTTTTTAGGTTTAAGTTAATTAAATTTTTTATATTACTTATAATAAGCCTTTTTTATATAGGTTTACAAGTAGCTTATTTTTAATAATAACTTTAAGGTTAATTAAAAATAGTTTATAATTTTACTTTTTAATAATTATTTTATATAATATATATAAGAGTATTATCTAGCTATTTATAATTAATATAATACCTATTAAATATATTAAAAAGGTAAATATATTTTATAAAAAAAAAAAAATTATTTAGGTATTAATAATACCTATATAAAATACTTATTTTTTTTTTAAAAAGTAATTAAAAGGGTGTTTATATATAAGTCCTAGTATAATATTATTTAATTAAGCCTTATATTATTATATATAATAATTATTAACTTACTTAAATAAGCTATTAACTATTTTTATATATAATTATAATAAAACCAGGCTAACTTTTAATTTTTAATAAAAAGTTTTAAAGGCTAACTCACGGGAGTTTATTAAAAAATATACTTAAAAATAATACTTAAATTTATCTTTGGCTAAGCCAGCTTAATATTAAAATAAGTAATAAATTTAAAAATTATTATATATTAAATAGCCTTAAAGGTCTTATATAAAACCTTTCAAAAGCTATTATTAGTATATAAAATTATTAGCTAGTATTTAACTAGTATAAGGTATAAAATATTTAATATTTTATAAAGCTTAAAGGGCAAAGGTAAAAAACTAAAAAAAAAAATTATATATTAATTTTTAGTAATATTATATACTAAAATAGCCTTAAAAATCTTATATAAAATTTTTAAAAGCTATTACTAGTGTATAAAGTTATTAACAAGTATTTTAAAGTAACTAAAAAAAAATTACTTATTAATTTTTAATAACATAGTATACTAAAAATAGCCTTACTTAGCTATTCTTATATAAAAAAACCTTATAAGGGCTATTACTAGTATATAAAAGGTTAGCTAATATCTTTTTAAAATAAAAAATAAAAGGTAAAGGGCCAAATATATGCCATTATATTAATAATAATTAAAAAAAAAAAAAATAATAAGGCCTTAGTATATTATATTACTTAATTATAATTACCTAACTAAATACCTTAAATATTTTTATATAAAACTAGCTACTTTACTTTAAGAACTTTATTTTTATTTACTAGTATAATTTATAACTCTAGGCTTAATTTTAGCCTTTATATAAAGGTAACTTTATTTTTAATTCCCGGCCTTTATATAAAAACTAAATAACTTTTAGCCTTTATATAAAGGCTAAAATTAAGCCTAAAGTTATAAATTTTACTAGTAACTTGTTATCACCGTTATGGTGTTGCAACTGCGCAATATTGTAATAACACAATCCGGCGGCCTAAGGCCGCCGGGCGGAGGAATATTAGCACTAAATTAGCTATGTATTAAGGTAGCGGCTAGTTATATAATATATAAAATATTAAGTTTAACTTTAAACTTTAACTTAAAAAATTAGTAATTAGTTTTTACTATAAATATATAATGCCTTTTTTATTATAATAATTTATATTTTTTTAAGCTTATTATAATATATAAACATAACTTATAATTTTAATTACTTTTTTTTTTTAAAAAAAAATTTATTTTATATAATAGCTAGGTAATAAACTTAATCCTAAAGGCTAATAAATAATATTTTAAAAAAGTAATTATAAACCTTAACTTAATAACTAACTAAAGTACCTAAAAAAAATTTATAAACTTTAAATTAAAAAATCCCAAGGGCGCCCCTATTATTAAATCTTAAATTATATAAAAAATATTAAAATATAAAAGGCCCGCCCAGGGGCAAGAAAATAAAAATAATAAAAAAATTATTAAAAAACTATAGGTAATACTAAAAGTAATTTTAATAAAAAAAAAAAAATTATAAAAATAAGAATGCTGTAAAAAAAAAAAACACTAATAAATTTATACCTAAATTAAAAAGGCACGCTAATAAATTACAAGGGCTAAAGCTAACTAATAAATATATAATATACTTATTTAATTTATTAAGTAACTAATAGTCCCGCGTTAAATAGACTTTAATAACCTTATAATTTTAAAAAAAATTATTAAAAAAATTATAATAATAATAATATAATTTAAAAAGGACTTTTTAAAAAAATTATTATTTATAAAACTATACTAGGTAAATAATATTAAAAAATTTAATAATTAAAGTTAAATATAAAAACATACTTTAAAACCTTTTTAACCTACTACCTAAATAATAGCTATAAAATATTTTAATTTATTAAATTTTTAATAAAGGACCGCAGGCGGGAATAATTTAATATTTATAAAATAAAAATTATATTTACTTAAAAAAAATTTTTTAATATATTAATTAAAATAATTAATAACAAGATAATGCTAGTTAATAACTTGCTAATTAAATAAGGTAATATAAAATAGTAATTATAGCAAACTATTAAGTAATTTATATAATTACTAAACTAAATTAAGAAATACCTACCTTATAAGTATAAAAATAATTAGTATTAAAAATACCTATACCAAAAAATCCTGGAGAATATATAAAAAAAGTTTCTTATTTATAAATACTAAGAGCTAAAACATTATAATAACTATATATTATACTTAATAAGTATTAAAAATAACATGCTTAAGTAAAAAAAAATAATCACGGAAAAAAAAAGAAAGTTTCTTAATTAAACTTATATAAGGCTATTAGTAACTAAAGTTAGGGTACTTTTTACTACTAAAAAAAGTATAAAAGTAAATACTAGTATAAAATAACCTAATAATTTAAATAATTTTTTATTTATAAAAAAGCTATACCTAGGTAAATACCTAAATTATAACTATACTAAATATTTTAAGTAATATTACTAGTTACTAGGTAAAGGTTAAAAAAAAAAGCACCTTTATAATAATAACCTTTAAGTAAATTTAATAATATAAAAAATATAAAACCTTAAAGCTTTGCGTAATACAAGCTTTAAAAATTTATATAAAATAAAAAAATACACCACGGGCCTAGGTAATCTAGGTAAAAATAAAAAAAAAAAATAAAAAATAATAATATATAAGGGTTTTTATTAACTTTAAAATAAAAGTAAATTTTATAAACTAGCGCTAGGCAAAATCCTACTTAATATAAAGTAAAAAATTAACTTATAAAGTACGTGTAGTTAATAGCCACATGGTAATATTTTATAGAAAATATATATTTATAGTTTATGCTAGAGATTTTACGTGTAATATATAGTATTATTAGTAAAACTTTAAAGTTATTAATATTAATAATTATAATATAATTTTAGGATTTTTATAACTACTAGCCGCGATGCCCATTTTAAATTAATAAACTAGTAATTAAATATATAGTTAAAAAGTAAAGTATAATTTTAAATATTTATAATATATAATAATAGCATAAAAATGCGCTATAAAAATTACTATAAAAGTTAAAGTACTTTTAGTATAAATTTTTAAGTAAAAAAACCATGTTATAATATACCTTAATAAGGTAAAGGTTAAAAAAATCCTGCTACCTAAATAATATTATAAATATATAAATATATTTTTTAAAATAAAAGTAAATATTTTTATATTTTATTAATTTTATAATTATATAATTAAGTTATAACCTAGTGCTAAGCCTTTAAGTAAGTATATTTACTTATTATTTTTAAAAAAGCTTAAGGTTCTACGCGAATATATTAAAAAAGTATTTAAAAAAGGCTAAATATACTTATTAAAAAGCCCTGCGGGAGCTTTAGTATTATTTATATTAAAAAAAAATAGTAACCTATATTTTTGCGTAAACTATTAAGGCCTAAATACTATTATAATTAAAAATATATACCTATTACTACTGCTTAACACAACCCTTAACCATTTAAAAATAGGAAAAATTTTTATATAGCTAAATTTATAAAACACGTACTATAAACTTTAAATTTATAAAAAAAATAAGTAAAAAATAGTATTTAAAATATAATTTAAACTTTATAAATACTAAGTTATACTATTTAAACTAGTAAATATACTAATAATATTTTAATCCTATATAAACCGCGCCCTAGCTAAGCTAATTAATATAATTTATATTACTTATTTAAATAATATTATTATTTTTTTAAAAAACAAGAAAAAATATAAATAATATATATAAATAATTCTTAAAAGATTACATAATTTTAAGCTATATATAAAAATTAGTAAATGCTTGTTTTATATTAAAAAAATTAACTTTTTAGGCTTTATTATAATTACTAATAAAATTAAAATAAAACTAAAAAGAGTCCAGACTATTATAAAGTGGCTAATACTAAAAAATATAAAAAAAATAGTATTTTTCTTAGGATTTTATAGCTTTTATTAAAAATTTATTAAAAATTATAGCTAAGTCGCGGTAGCATTATTTAATTTTATAAAACTTAATATAATTATAAAATACCTACTAAAAAAAAGGCCTTAAAAGTATTTAATATATTACACCTTAAATTTATAAAATAGCTATTATTATAATACTTTAACCTAAAATTACGCATGTAGTTATAAACTAACACCTTAGGGTATATTATTACTAAAGTATTATTTTAATTAATAAAAAATATATAATA